GATATACTTTTATATTATTTTGAGACGACTATATGATCCTCGATAAAACTAGGTCGATTTATGTAAAACTCGAGTTGATACTTGTTCATAGTGAGAAAAGTTGAATTTTATATGAATTCTGAGCAGAAAGCTTTGCTACATCATTAAGCCCATGTTTGGCCCCAATTTTCTAAAATTTATTTTCTTTACTCATTTTAAACCACACATTTAATGGGATTCATAATTTTTATAAACTTTTCAATCATATAACTTTTATTAAAATTTACTAAAACTTTGATTTTTAGCTAAACCAAACATGGGCTAAAAATTCAAGCAACCTAATTGATTTTTTCCTATAGAAAAGATCATTGCTTGATTAGCGTAGAGATTTTCTCCCTATAAGGTGGATCAATAAGTTCATGGTTTGAAAATTTTACCATTGCATTCAGTATAATATCCAAGTTTTCTGTAGCTCTCTTTGTCGTCCCATTCGACATCCTAAAGCTTAAAATTCATATATTTACACGTACACAAGAAGTATTTGTCATCCAAATCTACCAATCAAATTGTCCAAGTGCATACGTCTCAGTAAGATGCATCCCTCCCAAAAAATTTTATTAAACAAATTATAAGGGTATATTTTTTTATATGAGGAGAGGACATGGTGTGAACAAGTACAATGGCAAGTACCATAGGTACTTGAATGCATTCAATGCAGGCAAGCTGAGCCAGCTAAGGTTAGACCAATTTTGTTTGTTTGTTTATTCATTTTGGATTAGGTTATGGGAGATATTAAGGATGGGCAAAAGTGCAATGGATTCGAGGGATATGAATCTTGAAATGTGTTGGGTGATGAAGAGGCAAGATCATGTGAACCATACTATCCCAATTCTTTTTCTTTTTCTATTGTGTGTGTGCATACGTATGAATTGACAATATGTCATATATATATATATATATATATATATTCTATGGTAATTGGCTGCATAATGTGCCCTTCCAAAACTATACATTTTTTGGAATAAAGAAACTCTCCTTTGTGAATTATATACCTTTTAAGATTTCAAGATTCTATAAGAGAATTTTACTTTGAAAGATTAAAGTTGAAGCCCGGTATGAAAATTTTCTAGCCTTTTCTAAGAAATTTCAAAATTCTATAAGATAAATTTAGTCAAAAAAAGAATAAAAAAAAAGAAAGGAAAAAAGGAAGAAGCTTAAAGTAGAAACACGTTACGAAATTGTCTCACCTAATATTGATTTTTATAACTTCAAAATTATAAATAAAAGTTTGGTCTTGCGATTTTGAATGTAATGTTTAGCAAAAAACAATTGTGACTCTGTCTCATTCTATATCGTATAAGTGTGGTCAATTTATATGGCATGAGCTCACATGGTATGTAACAAACAATTGTGACTCAGATTACTACTATCTCATATAATTGCAATAATTCATGTGACAATTGCTCATGTAGATGTAAATTATTGCCAATTGTGGCCGTTATGATATTTGATGGGATGTTCACTAAGATGCAATTACATGACTCATGTGAGTCGCATCCCTTCTATATTGCAGAACTGTGATTACAAATTTGCAGCCCTCCAACCGTGTAAATGGAAAGAGAATAATTGTCTTTTTCTTAATACAAATCAAGTGAGCGATTTGCTCTGACTATATCGCAATTTAAAAAATATCATTCAAATTACCATAATTTTGAGAATATTATCATAAATTTATAACAATAAGAAAAAATAAAATTCTAAAATTTTGGATTAATTAAATTCCTAAATGTCTTATTTAACAAAATTTTTAATCACTTATTTATCAAAATTAAAACTTAAATATTCAATAGGTCTAATTTTTTTCTTAATGAAATCTGCTAATTTTTTTCTTAATTTAATCCAATTAATTATGTATTATTAATTGGAATTAAGACCTGAATTTTGAAATAATTTGACAAGTTTGTTAATTTCGAAATGTAATTCTCATATGTAAGAGTTATGTATTTTTCTCTTTCCCTAATGATAGAGTTCAACAATGGAGTTTAGGATTCAATTAAGAAATTAAGATTTTGAAGGGGTTAGAAAAAGACAATATTGTTTCAAATAAAATAAGAAAATCAATAGTTTGGAATGATGTTAAAAACCAATGGTTGGTAAATTAATCATAAAAAAGAGAAAGAACCCATATATTTAATTAATTTAGTATAATTATGGTGTTGGAAGAGAATTTAAACTCTAATATTAATGTCAAAATAAATTAACAGATAGTTGCCAATATTCTTTACTTGAAGTCATTTATAAGTAGTCAATCGTTCAATTAAAAATTGGATTATGGATAATAGTAGATTGGAGTTAATCTGTGTGGTGGTAGTAGCAATGTTTAGGACATTGTGTGGTGGTAATAGTGGCGCGTTGTACGTGATCAAATTTGTGATTAACTTGTTATCTGTAATAAGATTTATTGTTTGTGACCATACTCATGTTATTTGTGACTAACTGTGACCAAATTTATCTTTATGTGAGCGTTGGTGACCAAGTCTATCTAATTTGTGACTGTATGTAATCAAGACACTAGCCTATGTTATTTGTAACTAGCTGTGATCAAGTTCGTTTTCATTGTGACTATTCGTGATTAGATTAATTTTAACTGTGACGATACGTAACCATATCACAACTGGTCACATTTAACATAAAATTGGCCACAACCGATCACATTTAACACAAACTTGGTCATAGAAGGCCACCACAAATAAATTTGCACACACCGCAGACTAATTTCATTACACGTATAGTCACAGATGGCCACAATTAACACAAGCTTGGTCAAACCTAACCACAATTAACATAGACTTAGTTACAGAAGGTCACCACAGAATAAATCGGCACACATCGCAGACCAACACCATAACCCGAAATAGCAAGCCATACCTTGTCCTGCACCACCTCCTCTGCCATTGTTGTATTTCACTATTTCTTCTTCGTCTCTTGGATCCAAATTTAGTGAGAATCTCAAAGGAAAAAATTCACAAACCAGGTTTTAACCATGCACAAGTAAAAACTTAGGTGTTAAGTTTAATTAATGCAAATATCAGTTTTTTATTTAATTAATTAAAAATGTTTATTAAATAAATATAATAAAGTCACAGTTATAAAATTAATTGTCACAAATTCATAATTATGGGTCACCAATTTATTTACTGGTCATATATCATAAAATTAATTGATCACTGATTATTTCGTGGTCACAAATTAAAAATTTTGGAGGTTGCAAATAAAAAATTTATAGGTCGCAAATCATTCAAATTACTGGTCACGATTTATCCATGAGTCACATATTTTCAAATTTATTAGTAACATATTATCGAATTTTAAGGTCACAGATTAATATTTAGTCCAAATAATTGGTCATATGTACCAAACACTCCATCACCGGTCCCGATCCAGCACCAATCTTGGTCACAAATCACCACCACACAATCGTTGCTTGCACCGCACCACCACAACAAACACACCATCGCGTGCATATCGCACCACCACCATCAACAAAATGAACACCGCCTTCGCTACCTACAATACAACAAAAACCACCACCACCATCGTCGCCTGCACCATACTAACAAACATTGCCATCATCCTGCACGACACCACCACGACTACAAACAAGCACCGGCCAAAAAAAAAAAGCTGACCACCACACTATTGCTTGCACAGTAGCACAACCACCAACCACCACAGCCAGAAACCATCACGATTGCCACCACCAAACACACCAACAATGCCCAACTCACAACCTCACCACCATTTCCACTGCCAACACGACTAACCTCTTCTTGTGACGACAACCACCAGTTCAATCAACCATCATGCCACCTACATCTCCAATCAACCTAGTTCTACCAAATAATCCCCATATCGTCGCCATCGCCAACACACCATTGTACGATACTACTGCCCATATTTACGATTCACCGCAACCTCCTCAAATCGAAAAGAGAAAGAAAAAACCCCAACCCACCTCCAACGTCGGCATCAGTCGGGGCCAAGGACTACAACATCACGAACACGAGGAGATCGAAGAACGATTGGAGCCACCAAGTGAGATTTGCTTCAGAGAAGAAAAGAGAACAAATAGGATAGCTATCGATGAGGTTGCTTCATAGCATCACGTGTTACGAATCGCCGCCATTGTGAATCGCCACTGACAATGCGACAGTGGTGTTTTTTGATAGACAGAAGGGAGAGTATAGAAAGATAAGAAAGATGGTTGAGAGAGAAAAGGTAAAATTAGGGTTTGGAAATTGAATTGGATGAAATATTTAATATTTAAATTATTAAATCAATACCTAATTTTTGCATAATGAAACTTTAGCCCTGATTTTTGAATTGTGATGTTTAAATTCCTAGTTTTGTGTAATTTTCACTTTTAACAATGAGGACTATTGCAACCCACGAACCACACAGAAGAATTACTCATTTGAAAGCAAAATTTCTAGTGTCCCTTTTTTCTCATCGCTACATGTACACTCTAATTTACACCCTGATTAATAGAATTTACACTTTACACGATCTCACATCATTTTCCACATCTAACAAAGTTGATCTAGCCATTAGAAAATTGTCACATAAACAATCTATCAAGAGAGGCGTAAGGTAGAATGTACAAATAGCTTAATCCTTGTAAATTATGGTTCAGTTCAATTCCACAATTACATTTTTCCATTTGGGACAAGTAGTTCCGTTTATCAGAATTCCATTGGTTCTCAAAAACTTAGTCGAATTGTTTCTATCCTAGTCCAATAAGTTCTGCCTACCGAGAGATAATTTTTGAACTCCATTAACTAGCCCAATTTGAAGTTGAATCGCACGCAAGCACTCACTCGCCCCATTATTTTTGTCTCTAGAGGTATCCACGAAGTTGAATCAACCATAATCGCACAAATATCACAATGACTTGCACAATGATTTTAGCCTCTACTAAGGTTTCAACTTCCATGGCCACCTAGCCTGTGCACGTATGTGGATGTAGCAGAAAACGACAATTACATAACACAACAGAAATATAAGACATACCAGAGAGAAATGTGAAGACAATTAACACAAATAACAAACCACATTATTGAACTTTTAAATGGAAACCTACAGCACAAATCAAACGGTAAGATTTTTCAAAAAGCCTAGTCACCAGCTTTTTATTCTTGGATGGCAACACTAGTCGAGACAGATTAAGAGAGTGCAAAATAACTGCACATGTTTTAAGATTCTGATTCAGTATCAGCTGCTGCCGCATTTTGAGCTTCCAAGAGCTTCATTTGACGTTCTGCATGTTCTCTTTCACAGGCACTGATTCCCATGATTATATCAAGCATTGTACCAGTTGTGCCGAAGAATACAAGGGGTGCCAAAGATTTTCGCTTTATTCCCACCGGGATTGCAAGCAAAGCTCCAGCTACCGAAAAGACCCATGTGCCTAGTGCACTGAAGAAATTTACAAATATTAAGTTCAGAACAACAGTAAACATAAGAGACTTCAACATTACGAGGAAGCATTCAATATTGGGGATAAACATTAATGAGAACTTCACCCACTAAACTAATGTAGCAGTACACAGCCAATCTTCTTACTTAGTGTACATGCTCATCAGCGTGGATTGTGATTTTTAATACATTATTTTCAAGTTAAAGTAAGATAAGAACAAGCTGGTTGTGGCCAATATAGCTGGACTGCATTAAACAAATAACAAATCAAGCTAGGTCCACAAACATTGACAACTTTGTTTCTTTTTCACCACTTCTCAAGTTGGCAAACATTTTAAGAAAATATGGAATATGATTTTAACTATTTAAGTGAAGCATATAATATCAAAATATTCACCAAAGTTTCTCTCTCCCTAATGCCTGAGACTTTGATTACTTACAAAGAACCGTAAGTCCTGCTCTCTGTTTTCTTTTGACAAGTTATATATTGTACTCTACAAAATGGGTTCATAGAAAGATACAAATAAATTAAATAAACTTCAAAAAAAGGGTCATTTCTTCTTTTATTTTATTTATTTATTAAAAGAATCAATAGAAAAGAAGCTTTAAATATGGGATGTGCAGGAATTTACCCTTTTCCTACGAAAATGCATCATATCCTGCACATTCTCATATGAAATGCGATGTACTTTTAGAGGCATAGAAAATTAGCAAGAACTCGGGCAACAAGTCTTTTTTTGGTATATTATTACATGATGTACGGATTGGTCTAGGAAGCTTTGGATGCACAAGATTAAGTCATAGCAGCCACAAAGAAAGGTATAATATGAACAGAAGAAAACTAAGATCGCATACTTACCTTTATAACCAAGATTTTTGGGTATCTTCAAAAGATATGAGCTAAAATGACTTGTGAAAAACTACCTATCAACTTACCATGTTTATCTCAAAAGTCTTTTAAATAGAAATACTTCCTATTGGGTTTTTACTTTTGTACAAGTCCTCAATTGTGTTTGTAATCTGGTTTATTTTAGTGGATTGTTCAATAGATAGGCATGACCCGTGTATATAGGCAGTTGCCAAATGCTTTCTTGAACAATAAATTACTTGAACTTAATTTGATAAGGCATAAACTTAAGTGGGAAGTTAGAACAAACCTACTAAAATCGTTTATTTTTTATTTAGATACAATTGGTTTCTCAAAAGTAAAAATACATGTATGATGCAGAATAATGCTAGGAAAAAAGGGATTACAAATGAAAACTTACTTTGAAACAGAGCATTCCTCAAGTTGTTTCACCTCCGCTTTTCCAGACATTTTCTGTTTCTTATCGCTATTCGCCTTTTCACTTTATACCGAACCAAATACTTAATCCTGTACAACGTTTTTAACACAATTAAGATATATAATCGATTATGTAAAATAGTACATGAGATAAAAGCACCATGTACATTTAACAGGGATATTTCACCTATTATACTTCGACAGGCGGCCAGTTTTTAAGGAGGGAAGAAAACCATAAACAACCGCATCAAAAATTCAAGAGAAATGTTGTCGAGAAAATCGCTGTTGCTAGAGAGGAAGATTACCAACAACAATTTTGGAAAAATAAATGAATTATAAGGAGTTGAAATTATAACATTAACAACAATCAGGTTGGGTGTAATTTCAACATATAAAGCCCGTTTGCACACTAATAAAACCCGATACTACCTTCCAATTTTGGAGATGCAGAAGTTGAGTAGAAATCACTGCATTTTGCCTCCTTCACAGTGAAATGTTCCCAATTTTTAGTGTGATACAGAAGGAGAAAACCCTTGCCGCTTGTCCCCTGCTGCTCAGTGATTAAGACTTAAACGGGCCGGGTTATCGTTGGATGTACATGGCTTTAATTGGGCTTTACAAGATTTTTCCCCCTCTTCATTTCCAAAATACAAGTGTTAATTATTATTTTTGTTATAAAAGTAAAGAAAAGAGAAGATAGTAGAGAGAAGTCAATAGATTTGTGTGTATTTTATTAAAGGCCAAACCCTTATATTTATAGGATAAAATCAAAAATAAAACAGTAATTATTTCTAGGGCTGCAGGAGTATAATTGTCATTCACTCTAAATCCTAATAAACTTTCATTTTACAACACTCCCCCTTGAATGACACATTACAAAATATTTGCATCGTTAAAACCTTGTTTGATGAAATTTCAATGGGAAAAAATCAAACGAAAGAAAAAGAGTACAGTTATTTTGGAGTACTAAAAATAAATGATGTCTCATTAAAACCTTACTAGGAAAATCCAGTGAGACAAAACCTAAACTAAGGAAAAAGTGTACAACTACCCACCTGATGTTGATCACTGAAATCTTTGAGTCAACGCATTCCAATCTCATGAACTAATTTCTTGAATGTAGATGTTGGCAGTGCTTTTATGAATAAATTGGTCACATTGTCACTTGAGCGAACTTGCTAGATATCGATGTAGCCATTCTTTTTAAGCTCGTGTGTATGTAAGAATTTTGGAGGAATATGCTTCGTCCTGACACTTTTGATATAGCATCCTCTGAGTTGTGCAATACAAGTTGCATTATCTTCATAGAAAATTGTTGGACTATCCTTTGTTGAAATTAATCCGCTTAATGCTTGGATATGATGGGTTATGTTTCTCAACCATACACATCTCGGCCTGTTTCATGGATTGCAATAATTTCAAAATGATTTGAAGATGTAACTGTCAAGGATTGCTTCACAAATTTCCATGATAGAGCTGTTCCTCCACGTGTAAACACATAACCTATTTGTAATTTAGCTTTATGTGGGTCAGATAGATAACTTTCATCTACATATTCCACTAAAGAAGATCCTGACTTTTGAGAATAAAATAATCCCAAATCATTTCACATCTAAAACAATGTTCTTTCATTCCACATCTAAAACAACTTTCTTCATTTACTTTTTTAGATGTACTACTTTCATTTACTTTTTGCCTTTTGAAATTGTTACCTTGTTGTTGATTATTTCGTCTATGGTTTACTCAGTGTGCATGTCCGCGTCCACGTCCAAATCCATGTCCACGTTCACGTCCACGTCCATGTCATTGTCTTGATATTGCATTTGTTCAGGCAATGCAGTACCATTTGCTTCAGGTAAGGTACAGCATTAGTTGGACGTAACTCATGATTTTTCATCAACGGTTCATTATTCTGTTTAGCAACAAGTAGGCAAGATATGAGTTCTGAGTACTTTTTGAAACTACGCTCGCGATATTGCCACTGCAGGAGCACTTTCGAGGCATGAAAAGTGGAAAAAGTTTTCTCCAACATATCTTCATCAATGATTTTTTTCTCCACACAATGTTAATTTTGAACATATTACTCACTAACAGTTTTGAAATCATGCAAATGAAGGTGCATGCACTCATAACGGGTTTTGGGAAGAACTATAGTCCTTTGATGATCAAATCTTTCAGTTAATTTTTTTAAAGAACCTGTGGATCTTTCTTAGTGAGATATTCAATTTTTAGTCCATCGTGAAGATGATGGCGAAGGAATATAAGTGCTTTTGCACGATCCTGTAGGGATTCTTTGTTTTCTTCTTTTATTGTCTCTCCCAAACCTTTTAAGATAAGATGGATATCAGTATCGAGTACCCATGATAAATAATTTTTGTCAGAGATGTCAAGTGCAACAAACTTAAGTTTTGTGATGTTTGCCATTTAATTAACTACACAATAAAGCAAGAGAAAATATAACTAGTTTCAAAAAATATGATTAAACATCATATAATAATTAATCAAGTAGTCAACATAAGTTACGTGTTTTCCTTCAAGGATAAACACTAAAATAATATGTTCTACGAAACATATGCTACTTCAAGAGTACGTATTTTATTATTATTTCTTCAATATCTATACGTTAATATTCTTTTGGAATATTAAAAAATATAATTTATGCTCTTCAGGAGCAAGTAATATTTTTTCAGGAATATTAATTATAATATTGTGCTACTTTAAGAGTAACAACAATTAAAAATGAATTCAATAATTGATATTTTATTGCTAAATATATAAAAAAAAAAATTATGAAACATTCAGTAATTGCACAACATAATAATAATATTAATTAATCTATTATCACACGTAAATTATTGGCTTGAATTCGTTAAAGTGAATTGAGTGAAAAAGAAAAATTAATAACGTAAACTTCGTTTATGTGAATTGAGATTTGGCGAATTGACGAGCCCATGCAAAAGAATAAATCATTTATGGTGGATTAAAGTAAAAGTGTACCATGCAGTGCAAATAAAATAAAAATTTGTGCATAAGAATACAACTTGAAGTTATGCATAGGACTTGCTTAATTACATAAACAAATACAAAAACATTGATACACAATTACTCAAACAAACAAGAAAAAAATTGCTTCAGCACATGTATTGATTTTTGCAGAAACATGTGGCTGGGAATTTGTGCTGCATGGAAAAGATGTGGCGGGGTATACTGACACGAACCATCCGAATCATCCTAGTAGATCCGACGCGCGTCGTGCGTCGATGGTAGATACCAGCTAAACGCCGGACCCACCACCAAGACAACTTGACTTGCTTGATTGAAAAATATTTTTAACAAAATTTTGACAGAGTCCCCCCTAAAATATGAACTAAAACCACCTGGACAATAACCAAGTTTCCTCAATTCAATACCTATAATATAATACAGGATACGCCAGTCCTCAAAATACAAACTATTCAAACAAAATACTGGCCATCAATATTTATTTGCTTTACAACCAACAGTCCTCAAATACACCAAATACGTCAAATATGTAATGAGCCCAGATGAATTTTTCTAATTTAAGATACATACACCTCGAAAGAACACATACTGTATAATATGATAAAGGATGTCAACCTACGAAGCATGGCACAATTCGGTGGTTTAATAGGCTCAAAAGCTGCTCAATTCGACTGCTATCTGATAAAGAAAATGGTGAAAAGATGTATAAGCTTATAACTTAGTGAGTGGATAATTTTCGCTCAATTCGACTGCTATCTGATAAAGAAAATGGTGAAAAGATGTATAAGCTTATAACTTAGTGAGTGGATAATTTTCAAATAAACATATTTTTATTTTATGTATATATTCTGAAAATTCTAACTCTATTAAAACTTTGAGAAATTCTAAAATCTGGTGACACTTTTAAAACTAAATATGAATGTATTATAAAATTCTTTGTTCTTAATTCTGGATAAGCAACTGTAATGTATAATGACATAATTAACCTGATATTCATGAAATCTATGAAATATTGTTGTTGCTCAATATTATAAGCTAAAAGCTTTATTCTGAAAATTGAATTAACTGAATTTTATAATCTGAAATCTGATAAGCTGTAGAAATACTAAAAATCACACCAAAAAGGTACCCGAAATAACTATACTCATGTATCAATTTGCATCGATAGACATGACAAAACAATTCAATTATGGAATTTTGGAATTCTGTAATTCTAGTCATACGCTCGCAGAGCTGAAATTCTGTAATTCTGGTCATACACTATGTAAACACAATCACAATAGTGTAAAACGGGTAAAATCACCATAACTTGTCATGCATTGTGGAAACACATTCACACCAATGTAGAGCGGATAAAATCACCATAACTGGTCATACACTGTGGAAACACATTCATATTAGTGTAGGCTAAGATAAAATCACCTGTGTACTTTTTGGTGGTTTTAAAATAACTTTAAATATGTTGGAATATTTATTATTCATATGACTTTTTAATCAAATGATTTAACTGAACTGAATTTAACTTTAAAAAAATTGATATAAATCCAATTTATTCTAAAAATCATGCTGTCAAATCAACTGTATGAAATAATAAATTTTCTAATCTAACATAAATTTAATAATTAATTCATTTATGAAAAATAAGTTTTATATCGATTCACCAAGTTATGGACTAATCATGATTTCAATCTTCTCGTCATCTCCTGAAATGTGATACAAGATAACTAACTGAACAACCACTCTACCAAGTATCCTTACTTTTAACTACGAAATACTCGACTTCTCGACACTTGGAGATATTCTTTAATTTCCTTCACAATTGGAACTAATTCTACCTTCTAGTCCTTTCATTAAAATAATCTTCTCTCCAAACATAAAAACAATTCCTTCTTCCAAACTAGTAAAATTAATAATTATAATTTAACCAATTTAATTGTCCATCTTGCTCCATAAATTCATGCCTTCAAATGAGTATTTCATTCTACAATTATTCCTGTTAACTATATTCATTCAAAAACCCGAATAAAAATTCCAGGTTTTGTCCGAAATTGGTATTTCACACCTTAATGTAAGTAGCCTTCCCAATTCAAAAATATTGGCTTGCAAACATATTCCTTCCTTCAATTTGAAAATTAAACCAATAAATCACAACCCTAAAAAAATTAAGCATAAAACATACCAAGAAATTTGTCAAATTGAAGATGAAATTGGAATATCCAACCCTACCTTTTCCTTTCTTTTTCCTTTTCCTTTCTTTTCTTCTCTCTCTCTTTCCTTTCTCTTTCCTTTCTTTCTTCTCGATTTTTCTAGCTTCTCTGCCCCGTTTCCAGATTTTTGTAGGTATATATCAATTGAAAATGGCTAAAATAGTTGAGCATTTGACACTTGTAATCCACCGATGCCCTCATTTGCATTTAAGTCCTCCACTTCCATATAACATCACATTAAATCCTTAACTTCCATTGGATATAAAATCTAACCACTTTACTTTCAATAATATATAAGTAAATCTCCAAAAATTAAATTGTATCCATCTTAAACCTTAAAATATTGACAATTTTTAAAATAAACCCCAATAAAATAATTTGGTCAATTAAATCCCAATAAAATTATTTATTTCATTTAAATCCCTATTTGACTTTGAAAATTCGACTCTTGACTTTAACTAAAAATGAGGGGTGTGACAATCTTACCCCCTTCAAAGAATTTCGTCCTCGAAATTCTATCAACTAGAATTCGAACATATAAAGGTATCGAGCACACATAACGAATAAGTTTTTAGCAACCTTTAACTAGACATAACTTCATTCTTTCATATCTAGGCATCTTATCTAGCTAAACTCTCTTTAACTTCACTAGCAATCTTAAAGCGTAAATTAAATCTAATATCTAGTTACTAAACCTTAAAAATAGACCATACATTATTAAATATCAGATAACCTCATTGTAAACTTCATCTAAACGGAAGTCTTATCTAAATATAATTTAAAATTTCTATCTCATGAACTGACTATATCATTTGAAAAGAATTCTTATAACATTTATCGATCTATCAACAATGATTCAAATACCATTTTGTCTCCATTCTATATATTTGGAACCCCAAATCGAAAAATGTTTGTGGGTAGCTACTCCAATTCTAAATTAACATTATCTACAAAAATTTCAACTATTCATGATTTTCTAAAATTCTAGTCATCCCCAACAACAATTGAGATAGCTTAATATGATGTTCCTTTTCTTTTAATTCTATATCAACCAATGATAATATATACACACTTCAATTTCGACCCTTTCAAATTGACATATACCTTAAACTACGGTGATATATAAGTATCGATGTTTCTCGCAAGAATATAACACCACAATTTCTAACTCCAACCCCAATATAACCAACAATAAAACGTGCCTTAATCATACATCTTTAACAATCTATAGTAATATCCATAATTCATCATTTATTTCATCATACTTTCTAAACCTTAATATAATTCATTATCAACTTTAGATATGAGAGTACATATTTCATCATAATGTAATCTGATAGCAAAGCTTTTGGCATTTCTAAACCCACACAATTTTGGTGCTCTTTCTTTCTATGAAAATATAATAATAACATTCAATCCATGATAATTCTTTACTCTTATTCTATAAAGAGGCCATTGACCTATTACCAATGCATAAGCCTTCTTTCATATTGCACAAAAACCGTCAATTAATATTATAACTTAAAGATACCATTCCACAATTTAATAAAATTTACATTTGATGATCATCTTAGACTTTAAACTATCCAACACATCCTCCATATGTTCCACAACCTATAGATCTCAATAAGAATAGAATACTTTATTTGAGAGATCTAAAAATACAATTGAAAATATCCCAAACTTTACATTACTAAAAATTCATTAAATTCACCTTAACTTCCAAATTTAGCTCGAAGCTTCTAGATTGTATGTAATATAATATAATAATCCACAAATTGTCTTGACAAAGTTAATTAATAACCCAGATATCTCATCACATTATTTGGCTATAGGATGACCATAACATTCTTCACTTGCTATACACTATATCATGTAACCTTATCATTTATGGTCACATTGTATAACTTCAAACATTTGATTATACCTATTTCTTTAGGATCACAAAAATATTGCTCCTTAAAACTATCAAGTGACATTTCACACATTAATGTACCATCAAGATTCCGTATGCTAATTTTTCAATCACCATAATTTTCAACTATGTCATTCTTTACTTCAATATATGATTACTTTACTATAACTCAAGAATGACGATCCATGTGCATTTATTCAATTCTTTCCTTTCATACCTTTTACGCAATTAACATAGATATATCGATTCAATATTTTCTTTCTTAAACAACAATTTATTCCCACAATAAGTAATCCTTGTGAAATCTATCCATATCTATTTCACATCTCTTATAATCAAATAACCCATAATTATATATATATATATATATATATATATACACCACCATAATTTCTATCATCCTCCATATGAGTGGCTACAAATTACTGTTGGAAACGACTTATAAAAAGGGCTATGTAAGGGTTGATTTTTGATATATTTGTTTAACTAGTTTTAACCTACAAAAGCGTGATCAAAACAAAATTTATATGAATGAAAATTTGGACAGAGTTTCGGTATAAAAATTACGCAACACAAGGATTAAGAAGGAGTAGAAATAGAGAATAATTTAAGACGAGACGTTATCTCTTTTCTTAAGACAAATTGTTCTGCTACGGTGCTCACAGTGAATGACACTTGTCTCCCAAAATACAATGGATTCACAACTTGTGGTAGCAGCACTTCAAACCATAAGAAATCGACGAACTTTTGATAGAATTTTCCCTCTACAAAGGAAATGTATGAAATGCTATGGAATTAGAAAAGAGAGAATTGTAAGAGGAGAATGAATGCTCAATGCAATTGGTGTACCCAAAACCATGTACATAGAATTCTATTTATAGATGTAGAAAGGGTGAAAATGAAGTAGTGTGAGCCAAAACTTGCATCCTTTTAATAAAAGTTGCAACATTTGGCCAAAACCTGCATTCTTTCGAAAAGTTGAAACACTTCATTTCTTCCAACTTTGGTCCGCAATTTCTCATTCATCCGGAATTGATTTCGAGATTTCAAATATACCACGATGATCTACTCGACGAATAGAATAAATTGGTCTATTTACTTTTGTAATTTGACCATCGGATCAAATCCGAATATTTGATCGAAGTTGACACGTAGTCACACCTTTTCATTTTACACACCTTTTCATTTTTCAATTTTTGGTTAATAATTTCAACCGATTCCTACAATCCCCCACATGAATGAAAATTCAGGTACGCATATGTAAATGATATAATATTATGCAATGTAGAGAGGGTGCGAAAAAATACTGCATCAGGGATGGTGGCTTCTGGCCTTGAACCTCTTATAGTAAAATACTATCGGATTTACTCGGCTAATTGGTGAACCATAGGTCTTGAACCACTCAGCCTTTGGTGTAAGTCAAGACAACAGTATTCACATAGATATCTTCCCTATTCTGTACTTAGTTCTCATGACTTGGTTCATTTTGGTCCCGAAACCTTCTTGGTTTCATAAGTGTTTAGAGAATTCAAACTTTAAACAATTTTTATCGAAGCGGCACCACTTCACACTTACATAGGTGACCTGTTAAGAGTATTCTGTCCTACTCCACTTGATTTAATCAAGATATAGGAATCATTAGAAAATAATCTTAGCCTCTATTCACTTTGCAGAAAGCACTTTAGTATCATAGGAATGAGTTAGGAATTCTAATTTCCTAAATGTTTCATAGAATTTTCACAACTTATTTGTCCTTTTGAACCAAGATCTTGGGATCTCCGGTCAATAAGGTAGGATTACCATTGCAAAAACTCTTACGTAGTAGGCTTTAATCCCATTCCTCTCGATAGGCAACGCATTTGATCTCTAGGCAAACTTTTCGTAAGTGGATCAGTAATATTCTCCTTTGATTTCACATAATCTATGGAGATAATGCCATTTGAGATCAATTGCTTAATGGTGTTGTGTCTACGACGAATATGTCAAGACTTACCATTATACATGCTGCTTCGAGCCCTTCCAATTGCTAATTGACTATCACAATGTATACTTATAGCAAGTACCGGCTTGGGTCAACATGGAACATCTTCTAAGAAATTTCGAAGCCATTCTGATTCTTCTCCAACTTTATCCAAAGCAACAAACTCAGATTCCATCGTTGATCGAGCTATGCACATTTACTTTATTGATTTCCATGATACAACAGCTCCACCAATGGTGAATACATAACCACTAGTGGACTTGAAATCCTTCATATCGGATATCCAATTCACATTACAATATCCTTCTCGTACCGCAGGATATTTTGTGAAGTGTAATTCAAAGGTTAAGGTATATTTCAAGTACCTTAGAACCCTCGTCAAAGCCTTCCAATGATCACAGTTTGGATTACTTGTAAATCTACTAAATTTATTCAGCGCAAAAGCAATATCCGGTCGAGTGCAGTTTGTAATATACATAAGACTGTCAATTATTTGTGAATACTTTAGTTGTGATATGCTTTTTCCCGTATTCTTGACTAAGTGCATACTCAGATCAAGAGGAGTTCTCGCAGGACTTTCCTCAAACACGTCAAACTTCTTAAGTACTTTTTCTATGTAATGAGATTGTGAAAGTACAATTTCATCCTACATTTTAGAGATTTTAATCCCTAGGATTACATCTGCCACACCCATATCTTTCATATCGAAATACTTTGTTAGCATCTTTTTGGTGTTAAGCAACATTTTGTGACTATTACCCATTATTAACATGTCGTCCATATATAGACATACAATTACACAGGCATACAGTGTATGTTTAATAGATACACATTTGTCACATTCATTGATCTTGAATTCATTTGACAACATTATTTTGTCAAACTTTTGGTGCCATTGTTAAGGAGCCCGTTTTAATCCATACAAGGACTTAAAAAGTTTACACACTTTGTGTTTTTGGTTAGGAGAAACGAACCCTTCAAGTTGCTCTATGTAAATCTCCTCTTCTAACTCACTGTTTAGGAATGCTGTTTTTACATCCATTTGATGAATCTCAAGATTGTCTATTGTCGCAATTGCAGTTAACAACCTTATGGATGTGATTCTAGTCACGGGTGAGTAGGTA